GGGCGTTATTGCTGTTCTGCACTGAGCCAGTGTGACAGGCGTTATTGCTATTCTGCACTGAGCCAGTGTGACAGGCGTTATTGGTGTTCTGCACTGAGCGAGTGTGTCGGGCGTATTGGTTTTCTGCATTGGGATGGACTGAAGGTTTCACTGTAGAGTACCCATTCTTCAGCTGTGTTCCTTCCATGGCCTGTGCGTTTTTCTCCTTTTGGTTTTAGTGGGGGAGACTGGTAATACTCAGAAAACTATAATTAGTATTCGGTTATCTATCTCTTAAATGAAGGCTGATTTCCACGGGAGAGACCGTAGTCAGGAAATAGCCTGAAGCTTGATTTCATATGAATGAACACTACTGAAATTAAGATTGGACCTAAGCATTCCATCATTGTGATCTTATAATGGGATTCAACTGCACAGGAAATTATTGTTACTTTAATGTGCAGAAGCCAGGAGATGAGAGTTCTCAGTCTGTAACACACACACACACACACACACTTAATTCCAGTTTGGAAAGCTTTGCGTTTTGAGTCCAGTAAATGCTGGTTCTGCAGACAACTCCTACCCTGGGTAGACATTTCTTAACATCAGGACAAAGGTTAGTAAGTGCATGGGACAGTGCTCAGTGTCATCAATGATCAAGAACTCCATTTAAAGCCATTAGAATGACTACTATAAAAAGAAAGCAATAGCCAGTGCTGGGGGGCAGCAGAGGAAAGGCAATCTTAACTCATGCAACTGTTACAGAGTCCAAATGTGTATAAAGATCTGGGGAGAGGTCTGGAATGAAGAAACCAATAAGGAAATACAGAGAGTGGGTTCACAGGCCTCACAGTAGTCTAAAGACAGTGTACAGGGAGGGACCGTAAGAGGGGATCGAAACTAGACTTGGGTGAGGAGAAAAGCCAGTGAAATGTTGAATTCTGAAAAAGGAAAGTTTTCAAAGAGGAGGGCATTCCACTGTTAATAGTATATACAACATGACGGCTGAGAAGGGAGCATTTGAGTTAGCCATACACAGACTATTTGGGGTCTTTTAAAGAACAGTTGTAGGGACAATAATTTGGGAAATTCTGAAAAGGGATGCTGTAGAGTAGAAGAGAAATGGGGCTCTACCTGGAGACTCAGGTGAGATCAAGCGCATGGAGTCTGAGAGCAAGTAAGGCTGGGTCCGTGGGGCTACGGTGGAGCTGGAGAACTGACAGTGCTGGAAAGTGTGGATGAGCTGGAGCTAATGCACAAAGGCTCAGGTTAGCCTGAGGCAGTGGTATTCTACCTATGGGTCCTGATAGGGGTGGCACATCAGAAATCCTGTGTATCAGGTATTTACATTTTTCATGATTCATAGCAGTAGGGAAATTACAGTTATGAAGCAGCAACAAAAATACTTTTATTTTTGGGGTCACCACAACATGAGGAACTGTATTAAAGGGCTGCAGCGTTAGGAAGGTTGAGAAGCACGGGTCTAAGGTAATAGCTGAGAACTCTCCAGAAACATAGGTGGGAGCAGGTGGTGCTCAGCTGTTAGAAGTGGTGGTGCAGACTTCTGAATGTACTCTTTTTATCAGTTGATGTTCTCCTGGGGAAATACAAAGGAATGCCATCAACTTCCAGTTAGGATAAAGGAGGCTCGGAAATTTGAACGGAAAGGACAGGATATAATTAGAAGACAATGTCAATAGACTTAGAAATGTAGTGTGTGGAGGGGGCGCTAGGAAGATGACTCTGAGGTTAAGAGCATTGACTGCTCTTCCAGAGGCCCTGAGTTCAATCCCCAGCAACCACATGGTGGCTCACAACCATCTGTAATGGGATCTGATGCCCTCTTCTGGTGTGTCTGAAGACAGCTACAGTGTACTTATATAAAATAAATAAA